CAGTACCCTCCCCTTTGAGGCTGAACTGCCAGAGGGGCCTGGGCCCGCACCACACAGCGGGATGGAATGTGTGCAGGCCCCGGTCTCCGTGGGTGCTCCACTAGCTGGGGTTCCCAGTGCTCACCCCACACCTAAAACGAGCCACAGCATCAGAGTCCCTGAAGGAGTCCCCGCCCAGCAGCCCAGCCCCCACCCCGGAGGCCCCAGAGCTCAGGGAGCCTGGTTGGATTCTGAACAGCCCCTAGTCACGGTGGGTATAACTGGAACTACCACTGTGAGAAAAGCTGCGTCCAAAACTGTCCCTTGGCCACTGCCGGAGGCCCAGCCAGAGAGGGGAGCAGCCGCTCGAACCCACGTCCTGCCGGCTCCCGTGACCCCCGGCACCCGGAGCCCCACGGTGTCCCCACTGGATGGGAGGACAAGGGCCGGGGGCTCCGGCGGGTCGGGCAGGGGCTTGATCCCATCCTTCTGCCCTGGCCTCAGTGCCCCGGGCTGGAGTTGACCCTTCTGACAAGTGTCCTCAGAGACACGGGGATCATTGGCGCCTCCCAACATCAACCCCAGGCATCCCAGGCACAAACCCACATCCAGAGCCGACTTCAGGAGCAGAGACGCCCCAATACCCTGGGGGACCCGACCCTGATGACTCCCGTCCCATCTCTGTCCTCACTTGGGGCCTGCTGCGGGGCGAGCTCTTGGGAGCAGACTCGGGCTTAGGGGACACCACTGTGGGCCGACCTCGACCAGGCCACAGGCCCTTCCTCCCTGCCTTGGTGCAGCACAGACTCTGGGGTCTGGGCCGGGAGGAACTTCTGGCAGGTCGCCAAGCACAGAGCCCCCGGGCTGAGGTGGTCCCAGGAGGATCCCCAGGAGGTGGCCCCCTCCCCTTCCTCCCAGCTGGACCCCATGTCCTCCCCAAGAGAGGGGTACCATCCAAGGCAGGTCCTCCACGGAGCCCCCTTCAGGCTCCTCCCCAGAACCCACTGGGCCTCAGTCCCCACTATGGAAATGCAGCCACCTCGGGCACCCCAGGCCGCCCAGGCCCAGCCACCCTGCGGTGCCCAAGCACACACTCTGGAGCAGAGCGGGGTGCGTCTGGGAGGGGCTGGGCTCCCCA